GGGGGGGGGGGGGAGCCTGTGTGTCACTGCTTTGGTCACTCTGGGGACCTTGCTGGACTCCAGCTGGGCTGAGCTGATCCTTGTAGCTTTGCTCCTGCTTCTCTGGCCGAGAAGGCCACCAGTATCCTGGCTTGGATCAGCACTGGTGTGGCCAGCAGAGCTACAGCAGGGGTTGTCCTTCTGGACTGGGCACTGGGGAAGCCATACCTTGAATCCTGGGATCACACTGCTTTGGTCACTCTGGGGACCTTGCTGGACTCCAGCTGGGCTGAGCTGATCCTTGTAGCTTTGCTCCTGCTTCTCTGGCCGAGAAGGCCACCAGTATCCTGGCTTGGATCAGCACTGGTGTGGCCAGCAGAGCTACAGCAGGGGTTGTCCTTCTGGACTGGGCACTGGGGAAGCCATACCTTGAATCCTGGGATCAGATTTGGGCCCCTCTCTCCAAGAAGGGGCTGGAGCATGGCCAGAGAAGGGCAATGAAGCTGCTGGGGAAGGGTCTAGAGCCCAAGTGTAGGTAGGAGCAGCTGAGGGACCTGGGGGTGCTGAGCCTGGAGCAAAGGAGGCTCAGGGGAGACCTTCTGGCTCTCCACAGCTCCCTGACAGGAGGCTGGAGCCAGGTGGGGGTCAGGCTCTTCTCCCAAGGAACAAGCATAAGAACAAGAGGAAACGGCCTCAAGTTGCCCCAGGGGAGGTTTAGGTTGGACCTGAGGCACAATTTCTTCCCTGTGAGGGTTGTCCAGGGCTGTGCCAGGCTGCCCAGGGCAGTGGTGGAGTCCCCATCCCTGGAGGGGTTTCCAAGCTGTGGAGATGTGGTGCTGAGGGACATGGGCCAGTGGGGACCTGGTATTGCTGGGTCAATAGTTGGACTCAATGATCTTGGTCTCTTCCAACTAAAACAGTTCTCTGGGGATGGTTGGCACCAGCTGTTGGTGCTCACCAACCCAACACTCAAACCTTCTCTGTTCCCTGCAGGTGCTCCCTGCTGCAGTTGGAGGCTGCCGTGCCACGCTGAGGCACTGGCGGTGCCCACGCCATGGCTTCTGAGCCTCCACCCCACCACTGTGACCCTGGTGTGGGGCATTCTGGGGGAAGCCTGGCACTGGCTGTGCTGGCACTGTGGATGTGTCAGGGGGTGGTGGGTAACTTATTTTGACCTTACACCCAACCAGTGGTTGGAATGGTGGTGGGTGTCAAGGTGGGGTCTACACAGGCGTCCTGGAAGCACCTGGTGGCGGAAGTGACCTTGGGTGTACAGTGTTTGGAGTCAAATAAAATGGTGATGAACAAGATCCTCCGGCTCCTGTTGGGTGGCTTCGGCTGTAAAGTCCTGGAGCTATGACCTTGGCATGGAGTCCCAAGGTCAGGGATGGGGGGAAGGGGAGGGAGAAGCAGGGAGTGTGCATAGAGGACTCAGGAGGGGAGGAGGACACATGTCATGCACTCTGTGGGCAGGAGGACATGAAGGTACATGGGTGAGGAATAAAGCACTTCTTCTCAAAGGCTGAGTAGTCATGACATGGTCCAGATGAAGTTCCCTCAAGCATCCTGATCCATCTTGACCATGACCCATGTTTCTGCATCCTGGGCTGAGGGGGTACCTAGATGTGAATGTCTAGGTTCAAAGCCTTCTCCACTTGCTCCTCATGCTTCAGCATGTCCCATTTTTGGGACAGATCTGTTCAGCCCTACTCCTCCCTAGCCATGTTGCTTCAAAAGAGTGACCCTTGCAGGTTGTCATCAGGGTGGAACCCCTAGTTTTAAACCCACCAGGGCCATGGGGATTTGGTGACCCGCCTGCAAGCAAAAGGCTGGACCTTGCTACTACAAACCCTAGAGAGAACTTCAGATGGAAGGCAACTTAGCAGCTGCTCCTTGCTTTGTGGGAAGAGAGGAAGTCACCACTGAGTCCTTTATCTCGGGTTTGTGAGGGAGCAGAACATACACCTGGTATGAGTGCTCCTGACCTGAGAGCGGCCATGGGTGAAGGAAGAAAGACCGACATAGTCACAATCACGTATGAAACCAAATGCTCCAGTGGAGAAGGGTTGGAGGTCTCTGCTGGCTCTTGATACTGTCCTGAAGGAGCCACCAGCCCTGTGGTGGTGACCCATCACCATGAGTGATGGGACCAAGGATGGCCATTGTCTCAGGGCTGTGGGGCTCATCCTGGGTCATCTTCAGGATATGAGGCTCATTCTGGGGTGCAGGGAAGAATATTTTGGTTTTGCAGAAGACTTACTGCTGCATGTTTAGGTGTGGAGAAGAAGGAATCGAGGTGGTTTGTAGCTGTGTCACCTCTCTTGGGGTGCTCCTGAAAACCCTCAAGCTGAACAGGTGACCGTCCTGGTCAGGGTGTGGAGGGGATGGTGGGTGTCCTGGCTGAGGTGTTGAGGGAACTGGGGATGTCTTGATCAGGGCACTGAGGGGACAGTAGCAGCTTTAGGGTTCAAGTATCTCAGGGAGTGTGGTTGGGGCATGCAGAGGACTGTGGCCATCTTGGTTGGGACACCAAAGGCACCATGGTGTCTGGGCCAAGGCATTGAGGGGTTGGCAGCCATCTCAGCTGAGGCAGATCTCATTTGGATCCCTTCAGTTGAGGGGACCATGACTATCTTCACTAGGGTACTGAGGGGCCCATGGCCATCACAGCTGAGGCTTTAAAAAGGCCACAGTTGGTTTGGGCTTTGAGGGTGCCATGGCTGTTTCCATCAAGACATTGGGTCTCCAGTGGGTCATTTCAGTTGGGTCCCCTCAGCTGAGGGCACCGTGGCCATCTTCTTTGAGGCACTGAAGAGAGCACAGCTGGCTGGGAGCATTGAGGACACCATGACTATCTTGATGGGGACATTGAGGGGACCATGGTCATCTTAGCTGAGGCACTGAGGAGACCATAGCTCTCTGGGGCACTGAGGAGACCAAGCCTGTCTTGACTGGGACATTGAGGGGACAATGGCCATCTTGGTTGAGACACTGAGGAGACCACAGCTGGTTGGGGCATTGAGGGGTCCATGACCATCCCGCGTGGCGTTCTGGGGAGGCCTTGGCTGGGGCTCTGAGGGCTCCAGCTCCCCTCACCCGCGGGACCCCCGTCCCGCCCGGCGCCGCCCCCCGGGCCGTTCTGAGGGACGCGCCGCTT